ATGTATATAATGTAGATGAGCATTCCTCTCCCAGAATAGGTTATTAACCTTGGTTGCCCACATAACTGAGCCCTCAATGATTTCCAGATTAGTTGATGCTTAAATATAGGCAGAGCCATAGCTAGTAATTTTGGTGCAAGGGCACACAATATGCATAGGGCAAGTAACCTAGAAATGCATCCTTAAATCAATTTTTTGGGATACATTGAGTGGAGAGTAGGGTGAGATCCAGGGACACAAGGTTCCTGGGTACACCATGAGGCCACTGGGAAAACAAATTATTGGAGAGGGCAGTTATACTTATGATTCTCTCAATAGGCATTCAGAACCATTGAGTTGAAGATGTCCTTTCCCTACACCATAAATCAATATAGAAAGGCTGTGATATCTTCCTTTTCCATAGATATGCTTTCAACTTCATCATTCAACTGAAATTTATGTCTCCAAAGTTACTAATGATCTAATGTAATTGCCAAATCTAATGGTTTTTTCCTTGGTCCTTTTCCTTTTGAGATTGCACTACAGCTTTTAATTGTTGTTTTTCAGTCGTTAAATCATGTCCTACTCTTTGTGACCCTGTATGGGGTTTTCTTGGCAAAGATATTGGAGTGGATTACCATTTCCTTCTCCAGTGGATTGGATAAACAGGGGTTAAGTGACTTGCCCAGGCTCACCATAGTGAGTATATGAGGCCACATTTGAACTCAGGTCTTCCTGACTCCAGACCCAGTGCTCCATCCACTGAGTCATCTAGTTGCCTCCAGCCTTTGATACCATTGATCATCTTCTTCTCCTTGATACTCTCTTCTCTTTAGTTTTGGTGACACTTTATTCTCCTGATTCTTCTACTGGTCTGACTACTCCTATATCTCCTTTGCTGAATCTTCATCTATATATGCCTGTTAACCCTGGGTGTCTCCCAGGGCTCTCTCCTGGGCCTCTTCTCTTCTCCCTCTATATGTTTCACTTGGTGATCTCATTAGCTCCCATAGGTTCAGTTACTCTCTCTATGCTAATGATCCTCAGATCTGTGTATCCAGGCCTAAACTCTCTCCTCACCTCCATACTTGCATCTCCAGCTACCTATTGGACATCTTGAACTGGATATACCATAGACCCAACATGTCCCAAACTGAACTCATTATCTTCTTCCTCCCCCCCACCCCCAACCCTTTCTTCTCCTGAACTTCTCTATTGGGGTCCAGTGTATTATTATTCTCACCTGGGCTCATAACTTAGGTATCATCCTCAACTCCTCATTCTCTTTTATCCCATATATCCCATCTGTTGCAAAGGGCTGTTGATTTTTCTTTGTAAAATCTCTTATTTGTGACTCCTTCTCTCCTCTATCACTTCCACCATCCTGGTCTAAGCCCCCATTGCCACATGCCTAGACTATATGCAATATGTCAGTTGGTCTCCCTGCCTCAAGTCTCTGCCACCTCTAGTCTACTCTCTGCTCAGCTCTCAAATTAACCGTCCTAAAGCACAGGGCTGACCATGTCACCTCCCTATTCATTCAACTCTAGTGGTACCTTATCACCAACAGGACCAATATAAACCCCCTGTTTGGTGTTCAAAGCCCTTTATAACTCAACACCCTCACTTTTCCAGTCCTCTTCCACCTGACTTGCCTTTGTGTGCTCTTCAATCCAGTGACACTGTTTCTTGCTCTCATCATCAAACAACAGACTCTCCAGATTCTAGATATTTTCTTTAGCTTTCTTCTACCATTGGAATTCTCTGCCTCCTTATTTTCACCTTCTGGCTTCCCTGGTTTCCTTCAAGTCCTAGCTAAAACCCAACTTTCTACAAACACCTTTTCCTAATATCTCTTAATTCTAGTGTCTTCTCTCTCTTATGTATCCTTGTATAAATTGGTTATGTGTTCCCTTTCAGTGTCTTGTTTCTACATAGTTTGCATGTTGTCTCCCTCATGAGACTGTGAGATTCTTGAGATCAGGGACTGTCTTTTGCCTTTCTTAGTCAATAAGCATTTACTACGGTCTACAATGTGCCAGCCATTATTCTAAACACTAGAGATATAAAGAAAGGCAAAAGATAGTCCTGTCCTCAAGGAGGTCACAATGGAATGGATTTTTGTATTCACAGTTAGTAGAGTGCTTGGCACATAATAGGTGCTTAATAAGTGACAGTTAACTAACCACCTAGTCAGTCAATAAAATTTTATTAAGTACCTACAATGTGCCAAACACTGTACTAAGTACTGGGGATACAAAAAGAGGCAAAAGGCAGGGACTTCAAGGAGCATGCAATCTAATGGGGAAGAGAAACAAACAATTATGTACAAACAAATTATATATAGGATAAATGGGAAATAATTAAGAGAAGGAAGGCATTAGAATTAAGAAAGGTTATGAAAGTCTTTCTGGAAAAGAAGGGTTTTTAGTTGGGACTTAAAGGAAGCCAGAGATGCCAATAGGTGGAGATGAGGAGGGACCATCTAGTCTAACACAAACCTGCACAAGAATTCCCTCCACAACATACCTGACAACTGGTCATCCAGCCTTTGACTAGGGTTCTTATGAGAGGGAGCTCTATCCTTCTGAAGGCAGCTAATTCCACTTTGTATCTTTGTTAGGAAGTTTTTCCTTGTCTCAAGCTACATTTGCATCTTTGCAACTTTTACTCATTGTTACCTATTCTGTTCTTTGGGACCAAATTGATGAAATCTAACATCTCTTCCCCATGGCAGGCCTCCAGACACTTAAAGGCAGCTAGCCTGCTCCTCCCCCCCCCAATCTTGTCCACTACAATCTAAAGATTCCCACTTTCCAATCCTTTTGACAAAGTTGGATTTTTCAGTCATGTCTGACTCTTCATGACCCCATTTGGGGCTTTCTTGGCAAAGATGCTGGAGTGGTTTGCCATTTCAGTCTCCAGTTCATTTGACAGATAAGGAAACTGAGGCAAACAGGGTTAAGTGACTTGCCAATTCTATGGCAAAAACTCAAGGTCTTTTGATATCCTGGTTGATCTCTTCAGGTCAGGATACTCTTCAGCTTATCAATATCTTTCCTAAAATGTAACTTTTGAATTTCCTTTAGAATCATAGATTTTGTGCCTTAGAGGTCATCTAGTCCAATGAAGTCCAGACAGGATAAATGATTTGTTCAAGGTCACACAGATAGTAAGTGAAAGGACCACAATTAGAACTCAAGTCCTCTGTCTATAAATCCAACATTTTTCCCACTGTACTGTGATGCCTTGCTTAGGAGGGCACAGAGAACCATTTTAGGGCTTTGAAGGTAGTAATGTTATGATCAAATTAATGATAAGGAAGATTAATCTGACAAATGTTTACAGGATGGAGGAAGGAGGAAGCATCTGAAGGCAGGGAGACTGGTTAGAGGACTACTGTAATTGTCCATGTAGATGGCTTGTAATTTGGTGGAGATAGATAGATAGGAGAGATATTGATAAGATTTGACAAGTCTTGAATTTTATTACATGTGTAACCTGAGAAGGGAAGAGTCTATAGCAGTGGTATCAAAGTCAAATAGAAACAAAGTCAAATAGAAATATTAAACTGTACATGCAAATTCCTGTGGACTCCATATTGACTTAGAAAGCCATACATTCATATATTTCTTTTTTACTACTATAGCAGTACATTAAAATCAGATAGTAACAACATTTTAATCTAGCTCAGGCAGCATTCAGGAGTCTGTGGACCACATGTGGTCTGCAGGTTGGGTATTTGACATCTCTGGACTACAGTAACATCAAGATTCCCACCAAGGTAATTGGTGGTACAACTGATAACATTTTAAAAATCAGGAGGAAAAAATTTGGAATTCTTCAAGAAAAGCAATTAAAATAATTCCTATATTTTGACCCAGTGATCCCATAATTGGATATGTACTCCCCCCCAAAACAAAAAACAGCAAGAAACATCCCATATATGTGAGCATATTCATAACAGCATTTTTTTTGTAGTAGCCAAAAAAAACAAAACAAAACAACCAACTGGAGAGGAAATAGATGCCCGTTGATGAGGGAATGACTGAATTAATCATGGTCAATGAATGTAATGCAATATTAGTCTGTTATAAGAAATGACACATATTAAGAATTCAGAGATACAAAGAAAGATTTGTATGAACTGATACAGAGTCAAATAAACAGAACCAGGTTAAAAAATATAGACAGTAACTAATGTTGCATAAATGAGAACAATCTTAAAAGTCAGCTGAATTTAGGTTAATTGAAGCAATCAATTTTAAATCCAGAAAAGAGATGATTACTACTCTTAGAGAGAGGTATGTGACTGTGGATGCAGAATGTTGTCAGTCTTGGTTTTTTGTTAGTAAACTTGACTGCTTTTCTTTCTGTTCTATGATGGGGGAAGGGATTAGAAATGTGTTAGCCTGTGATTAAAAATCATTTTTATTAAAAAGGCAAAGTCAAGAGAGGAAGCAGATTTTGTAGAAAAGAGAAAAAGTTTGGTTTCAAACTTGCTGAGTTTGAGGTGTTAGTGGGAGATCCAGTTGGAGACTGAATCCCAAAATCTCAGAATTGGAAAGGCCTTTTGGGGTCAGCCCATCTACCATTCATTAGAAATGAAAGTCTGAGCTCAGGAGAGAGGTCAGGGTTAGAGATCTAAATTTGATATTGAGGGTTTATTTTTAGAAAGCAACTTCCTGAGTATGGACTAAAGGGGTAGAATTAAATGCAGCCAGATTTCCTGCCTTTTCTAAGTCTAAAGTCTTGTATATAATGGAAATTTATATTCACAATAGTAATCCTGAAGTTCTATGCACATCTGACCTTGTTCAGTGAAGTTCAACAGGATGAAATGTTAGCATTTCACCATCTTCCTTCCAAAGGGGACTTCAAATTTGCACTCAGTGAAAACTACATATGGAGTAGACTATGGTAGACTAGACTTTCCTCCTCCCCTAAGTGTTTTGTCCGCATTGTCCTAGGGATAGAAAGGGAAACATTTCTAATGGATTTCATTTCTCTGTTTTTTATAGCAGACACCCAGTGAAGAATGCTTGTTCCTGGAGAGGTTGGAGGAGAATCATTACAACACCTACATATCAAAAAAGCATGCAGAGAAAAATTGGTTTGTTGGCCTCAAGAAGAATGGAAGCTGCAAAAGAGGTCCCAGGACTCACTATGGCCAGAAAGCCATCCTGTTCCTTCCCCTCCCTGTGTCCTCTGAGTAAGGAAATCTGAACCAGGTGTTGGCCACTCCAGAACAATCCCAGGAGTCTCAAACACTTCCTTCCCTCTCTTCTGGATCCCTAAATGTCCCTTTGCCTATTGGGTAGCCTGACCCTGAGATCAACAGCCATCTCTATTTGCAAGCTATGTGCTTTTAAATTCCTAGTCCCTCTTATGCAAAGCTGTTTGCACTAGTAAAGCTCAGCACAAATGGACCAAAATGCTGCTAGGGCCAACAGGCCAGGCTATCCCAGGCTGTGTTTTGATTTTCCGTTGTTATGTGGATCTCAGCAGCAGGACAGGCCTCTCAAATGCAAAGGTGCATGTGTGGGGCCAAATGAAGTGTGTTAAGGGACATGCCAAATGAGTCATTAGTAACTGCATACAATTCCTCTCTGAGGGAGCAAACCCCATCTGCTCTTTTCCCCAAACACCTGGCTCAAAGCCCTCTTCCTTTTAACACCCCACAAATATTAGCCGAGTAACTTATTACAAGATTGGGGCGGGGGAGGGCCACCCACAGAAAACGCGATCAGGGATGTGGAACCAAGTAGATATGAATGGCTGCAAATGGGAAAGGCCGGACAAGACCCTGAAAGGAAGAGAATCTTAAGGTAGAAAGAACAAAGGAAGAGAAGGAGGAGGAGAATTAACTGATAGAAATCCTTATGCTTCTTCACCCTTCCAAGGTTTTAAGAAGAATGTTGCTGGGAACAGTAGACACCAGTGAAGGATTTTAGGATGGGTACAAGATAAGGATGATTTGAAAAAGCAGGAAAAACAAGAGTTGATCAGTTAAGTGGCAGATTGTACCAAAGGGCAAATATATTGTCTGGTGACCTTCAAATAGAAGGAGTTTAGAAAATAGAAGGAAGGAGAAATTAACTCTATAAATAGTGGAGCCTTTTACCCTTTATGAGCAGAGGTCATAGCTGGAGAAGACTTTAGAGGTCATTTAGTCCAACTTCCTAAGCAAACTGAGGCCTAAATCAGTTAAGTGAGTTGCCAAAGGTCACATAGCTATTATAGGAGGAGAGGCAAGATTTGACTCTTGGTTCCTGATTCCAAACTCAATGTTGCTTCCACTATGTATAGTTTGTAGGCCTTAGTAAATAGAGATGTTGGGAGTCCTAAGAGACTATGAAGGAGCAGAAGAGAGCTAAGGAGCTACAGAATAACTCTAAGTTCTGAAATTCCAATGAAACTTTGCAAAGAGACCCTCTCCCTTTCAATTAGTCATCCTTAAAATGCCCTGCTCATGCACCTTGAGGGTACTCCTGCTTTCAGCAGGCCCCCAAACACTCCAAGGAACTGCTTGCAGCTTTCTTATGCCTGTATTTAAAAAGTCAAAGCAAGTAACAAAACAGAATTATAGCATAGGACATAGAGTACCAACCTCCAGGGATGGGTCATTCTTCTTTCACGGAGCAGTCCAGAAGACTGTCCATCCCTAGTTTGGCCCCTCCCAGGATGTCATTGCCATGGCAACCCACTCCCAGGGTCATTCCCTCCTCTACTATGCCTTACCACTCTGCCCCTCCTCTGCTGCCCCCCCCCACCCGTACATCATGCTGTAGAAGTACTCTAAAATCTCTGAGGGACAGACTGCTCTCCCTCTTTGCATGACTGCACTGACAAGGGCAGACTCTTGCTGTCACCCCTGCCTCATCCACCACCAACTCAGCAAATTTGCCCCAGTTTCAAAGATGTAACTAGGAATTCCAGCACCTGGGGAAAGTAAAGTATGTGGATGTATGGATAGAAGGCAGTGTACACTACCAGTATTATTTTTCCTGGTTGTCCCTAGGACCAACACATTCTGGTTAGAGTTATATTGGTTTAACAGTGCATGGCCTAGAGTGACAAGACAACTAGGGTGGGATTAGTCAAGGCAGTGAAGAAATAGGGATGGGAATTATACCCAAGAGCAAAAGTCTGGTGGATATCTGTTGCAAATAAGAAGAATGCCTCCCTCCTGAAATAATGGTATCCTAGTCACCCCATGCTAATTACAGTTGTGCCAAGCACAAAAATTCCTAGTTCCTGCTCTAGAAAAAAATATTTACTTTAAATGTTCCACTAATGGTGAAATAAATGCCTTTTGAACAGTATCTCGAGGTCTATCAAAGGCACATTTCACAAATAGTACAACTCTAATTACTATCTTACCAAAGGAAAAGTAGTATTTCAATTATTATTAATATGTTTCTTGCTTGAAGTAAACCCAAACCATATGGCTAGAGAGCTTGTAGAAATATAACTCATCTCTGACTTACGATACCGGTATCTTGTTAATAGCTTTCCTATTCCATATTATTTATTGAGAGCATATGTTTTCATCATATAGTTAAACCATCTAGAGACCACCTGCAGTTAAACCTCATTAATATTCACTCATTAAGGATGATGGCTGTATCATATGATAGTCAATTCTCTATAGCTCATATTACATTTACTCACAAAAGAAGATATCTCTTTTTCTTCTTTGTCTTTGGTGTCCTGTTGTGCTGCTATGAATTCTCCATCAGAGAAGTGTCTTGTCTAAGACAGAGGAGACAACCCCATAACTCTGAGCAAGGTCTCATGGACCTTGAAAGTCTGATTGAAACTTCCATCACAGGAGAGAGCTGAGCCAATGTGAAGTGAGAAAACACCTTAGCAACAGAACTGTTACATTGAGATTGGAAGGAAAAGTTACAGCTCCCAGAAAAGGTATTTCAAGTCACAGTGCTGCTGAATAATTCAAATAAAGTGGCTAAGCCTGTAATTAATAATGTTACTCTACACTCCTTTCCCTTCTGTGATCTCTTTTCACATCGATTATTTCCTTTGATCCTATTAACAAACCCTATGAAGGAGCTGGGATAGTGCAATTCTGGACAAAATCTCTCTGCCATTATATCTCGCTCAGAATAAAAGTTATCCAAAGAGGAAATTCAAGGGATTTCTAATAGTCTGTAATGATCTATTGTTGAGTTTAGTCCAAGAAACATTAAATGCTATTGTTAACTGATAGGAAAGAAGTTTGTTATTTTAGAGGCAGACCCTCATTGTCACAGAACCATCATGATGCTTATGTTAATTCAGGAACTGTTTCTTTCTTGACTCTGTTCTGCACCAAGGCTATAGCTAGAAGCTAGAGAATCATAGGATTTTAAAGTTAGCAGTTATCAGAGAGGCTATCTGATTCACCTCCCTCATTTTACAGATGATGTATTAAGGCCCGGAGGGGTCAAGGGTCACAAAGGAAGTAGCAAAACTGGAGGTTTGAACCCAGGGCCTCTGTTTCTATGGCACCATCCTGCCAGTACCTGAGACTCTGTTGCCCAGAAGCAGAGTTTTTCCATAAATTAATTCAATTTGCTTTCATGACTAACAAAAACCTATGGGGAAATGGGGTCACAACAATTTGGGACCTGTTTGCCAAGTCATGTGACCTGGCTGGTTTGTGACTGGAATGACTCATCATGCACTAACACCAAAGTTTGCCATTATGAGCTCTCCTAGGGCATGATGCTTGTTATATAAGAAACATATTGCAGATCCATTCCTTTCTGTTATGTAAAAATCAGTGGCCTGATTCATTCATTTTACTTGGTTGACTGAGGAAATGAAATTGAGTACCAGATGTCCTGTTCTCTAAAGATCGAGCAACTTCCATCAGTGAAAAAAACTCGCTATCCCCTAATATAACATCCCCTTAGATCTTCAAAGGGTGTGTCAAAGTATACCATAGCATCCATGCCAACTGTGTAAATGTGTCAGCAGTCCAGGAAGATAAGCTTTCTAATTCTGAAAGGAAAATTAGCCAAAACCTAGTGGCTTTGTGCTTGGCTCCTTCCTTCCCTACTCCATTTGGAACTTTCTCTGGTTTGTTATTAAGGAGAGATCCCCTCTCACTATTTTTTATTTCCCTTACATGTATCATTCTCTCTGATCTGTCTGTAAGTGTCCCTGTTCGTAAACCCAACTAATGATGTATTGTTTGATGCTCCTGTCCTACTTACTTGCAGGAGCCCTTGGGTTTCAATTTTTTTGTGTGTGTGTTGTTACTTTTTCCCCCAGAAGTGGTAACAGATGTGGCCCCTTTGGGACCAACAGTGAGCATGTGCAAGAAAGGTGACCAGGGTTAGGGGTATGGACTGGAGCTAAAGCCGAGGCTTTCCTTTGAATGATGGGAAACTAATCATCCCTAATAAAGTATGGAAGTCAGGACCTGGGCTTCACTAGCAGCCTATCTGGTATTCAGCTAAGGGGCTGCAGGTGAAACCTAGCCATGGTCTTGTGTGGTTCTGCATTTTGTATGGTTCAGCATCTTACCAAAGATAATAAAAGTTCAATAACAGAATGACTCTCTGAGAATGCCTTTAATGTTTCCTTATGTAATGTACACTTAGCTTTCCACTAAAGGATCCCCTTCAGCATCACTCACAGAGAAATAGTTTTTGGAGTATCTCTCTTTCACTGTTATTCATATATTGAAAACTGGGAATCTCTATTTGTGTATTTGGGCATCTGTGATCTAAGAAGTAGGGCAGCTAGGTGGCACAGTGGATAGAATCTTGGGCCTGGAGTCAGGAAGACCTGAGTTCAAATCCCACCTTACTTATTAGCTGTGTGACCCTGGGCAAGTCACTTAACCCTGTTTGCCTGTTTCCTCATCTATAAAATGAGCTGGAGAAGGAATGGCAAATCACTCCAGTATCTTTGCCAAATGCCAAAGTTACAGAGTGTCAGACATGACTGAAACAAATGAACAACAACAACAAAACAGTGATCTGAGAAGTATATCCCAAGGAGCCCTTCCTCTCCCCTTCCCCCGCAAAGAGATGGGTCCTATAACTGAAGTTACACTGTTTCTTCTTATTATCGATCTTATCAAAACTGGGATAGTGTCTGTATGGTTGACCAGTTTGCTTTCCTAAGGAACTAACTGATGTATGCCTTGAGAAAAACCAAAAGGATTTCCTTTAAAATAGCATGTTTCAGTAAGGGACAGTAACAGTTTATCTTGCCTTTCAAGGCAATTCAATGCCACAAATACGTATTATTAAACAGCTACTGGATGGTACTATGTATGGTACTAAACAGGTACTATGCTAGGTGTTGGGGGATATAAAGACAAAAATGGAATGGTTCCTTGCCCTCAAGGAGTTTCCACTCTTATTGGGGTGGGGGGGGGGGGGTAAGAGAAACAACACTGGAGCCTGAGGACTCTGGGTTCAAATTCTGACTCTGAAGTTCACTGTCTTGAGACTTTGGGTAAGTCACTTAACCTCCCTGGGTGTCTTGCCCAGAATTCCCATGCACAGTGATATTCACCATGTCCCCAAACAGAGGGGCTAATTTGATACCAAAGAAAGAGGCCAGGTGCTCCAGACTGATTATAGGTAGTAGTTTAATTAATTGGATTACTTACATAGGGGCAGTCTGGGGCAACAGCCAGATAAAACAATCTCAACAGAGGATCGATCCCCGCAAAGTCTCCAAGAAAGCTCAGTGATAAGTATAAGAAACAGACAAAGTGAGGAGGAGCTATAGAGTATATCATTATAGATTGGTAGATATTTTCAGATTTCTGCTTAGTAATGAACCTGGGCATTAAGCCAGCGTTGTTTGGGCAAATGCCCAAACACAGGTTTGTGTACTGGTCATGTGCTGGTCACTGCGTCCGTGTTACGGTCTTCACCGGTCACTATGCCTGGGTTTTCACTTGTCACAGTGTTTAAGTTACGGCTTTCACTTCTCCCTGCTTTATGGCTTTTTCCCCAGTAGGGACCCCATGCTGGAGCTTGGTTTCTTCATCTCTAAAATAAGCGGATTGGGAGTAGGTGGCTTCCAAGGTGCCTCTCAGCTCTAGTTCTGCGCTTCAATGGAAACCAAAAAATAAATACAAAGTACACGAAAAGGTCATTTCAAGATGGAGAGCACTTGTCATTGAGGAGCTCAGGGAAGGCCTCAGCTAGGAAATAGCACCTGACTTGTGCCCTGAAGGAAACCAGGGAATTCTACGAGGTGAAGGCGAATAGAAAGACCTTCATGGTATATACGAGGGGGGGCAGCAGAGGAATGTCATGTTTTGCTTATTAAACTCTCTAAGTTGCCAAACCGAGCAAAACTCTCTTTAAACAAATCTTTGCATACAAGTCTTTCAAGATCTTCATGGAACAGTATATCAATATCTGGCAAAGTTGTGGTAGAACCCAAGCACACAGATCAAAGAAGAAGGAAATGGCAAACCACTCTAGTATCTTTGCCAAGAAAACCCCGAGGACAAAAGTCCACAGAGTTGGACACAACTGAACGATTCAGCAACACCACCACCACCACCACCACATGGGCCAAAAAGTCACTGCACACACACGTTAGGTAGTATGTATTCATATGAGACAACATATGTCTACATATGAGAGAACATAACCCATTTTTCTTTTGGCTTTTCAAGCTGCCTAGAGTCATGGTTCTCCCCACCAGAGATGGCTCTGTCCTCTCCTCACCCTTTCCTTGCCTGATCGATCCTGTATTATCACAGCATTTCAGTGTTTTCAAAGCCACAATTTGTTTCTGAGCAAACAAGATGATGTCCCAGAAACCATCTGTTCTAAAGTCAGCAACGGCACAAACCAGTGAATTCTGCCACCCTGATCTGCTACTAATAACGTAAAACAAATGTAATAATGTAAATTCCATAAGTAACCACAACTGAGTGCAGTCTTGGACTCAGCAGATTTCTGTACTCAGGAAGCCTGAAGGCTTATTTTAATAACTTCTAGTCCCTTTACTTCTCTCCTATAATCTTTGAAATTCTCCTTATAGAAGAGCCCCAAATAGGAAACTCGGTACCATCAGAGCTACAACTAGGGAAGAACGAATGAGGCTTTGTCCTAAGGCAGGAAAATTTAAGAGCATGAAAATTTAGCTTATGTACTTGTAGGAGTTTGTGTAAAAGCTTTGTAGAAACAACTGCATTTAGTTAAAATCAGAAGTTACTAGATGCTTTCACCTATGAGCCACTACTAACCTCTTTCAACTGAATTTGTCTTATTATGTTATTTTTATTATCGTGAATTACATTATTAGAAGATAAATTTGTGTTACTTGCCTTGGGGCATAAAATTGCTAGTCATAACTCTGGACGCCACTTCCTCACCTATTAAGCATTTCCTCTAGCAGCATAGATTAGAGATTAGAATTCTGAACTAGAAATCAGGAAGAGCTAGGTTCAAATTCTGCCTCAGACACTTATTAACTGTGTGACATGGGCAAGTCATTTGACTTTCTTGGGCCCAAGTTTCTACTCTCTGTAAAATGAGGGGTTGGACTAGATGGTATCTGAAATCCTTTCTAGGTCTATTTTTTTTTTTGCAAGGCAATCGAGGTTAAGTGACTTGCCCAAGGTCACACAGCTAGTGAATATTGTCTCTGAGGCTGGATTTGAACTCATGCCCTCCTGACTTCAGGGCCGGTGCTCTATCCACTGCATCATCTAGCGATCCCTTCTAGCTCTAAATCTTATCATCCGTACTTTATCCCCATGATCCTCCACCAAACAACATGTAGAGGACTTTCTACATATGCTAAGAGAAGGTATTAAACCTCAATCTCAAATAATCGACTTCTGGAAAATTGCCAATTAGTCATAGAAAGATGTCCACTTAGATACTATTCAAAGGAGAGTGGTCATTGCTTATGGGGAGGCACAGATGATCCATGCTTTTAAATTTCTAATCTTGGATGAACACATTTTAAAATTTCATTTTGCCTCCAAGGATTTGGGTGGGCTAAGGGGTAAATAGAACTGAACTCTTCTGAGTGACTCTTGCCATTAAATGAAGGAGGAAAATAAAGTATGACCATGGTTCATATTTATCTGAGTGACCTGCCATCTGCCACAGTGAAAAATCCCCACATCTCATACATCTTTGGGTTTTATATATTGACCACTAAGATGAGGGCCACATATCATATATGCTATTGTTGTTGTTGAATTGTTTTTAGTCATGTCTGACTCTTTGTGACTCCATTTGGGTTTTCTTAGCAAGATACTGGAATGGTTTGCCATTTCCTTCTCCAGCTCATTTTACAAATGAGGAAACTGAGGCAAACAGGGCTAAATGACTTGCCCAGGGTCATATAGCTAGTGAGTGCCTGAGGCTGGATTTGAATTTAGATCTTCCTGACTCCAGGCCCAGTGCTCTGTCCACTGTGCCACTACCTGCCCAACATATCATATATATTTGCCTTTATCTATGTTTTTGCCTTCTCAGTAGTGAACAGGATTTATTTCCCAAAAACAATATCAACAGTTTAGGAATGCCTGGCCAAACAGCAGGATTTGTAAACATGTCTCACTTGAAAATCTCCAAGGATTACAGTTTGAATTACGAATATAAGTGAAGGATTGGGGATTACTTAGGGAACTCCTTCACCATTCCAGATTGCCATTCACCTACGGCCCAGGAAGATGCCTGAGGCTCAGAGAGATTAAGTAACTTGCCCCTGGTCACACCATTAATAAATGAGAGGCAGGGTTTGAATCTGTCCTCAAAACTCTAGTCCCAATATTCTAGCTAGGGCAAGCCCTGCTTCTTATCATTTGGATTGACAACCATTAGCTGAGTGGTCCAAGGAAAGTACAACTCTTTCCCTTCCCTCCCCTATGTTCCCAGCCCAGCACCCACAAAAAGAGTTTTTGCCTCTGACATAACATGGAAGAAACTCCTCCTGCCACTGGTCATTGCATACTTATTCTGAATCCCTTCAGGGGACTTCGACCTTTGAGGCCATTGATCCATCACCTGTCCCCTCATAATTCATACAACATCTTCTCGGGTTACGTGAGGAATATGCAGACTGACTTCTTGGCTCTCTTTATAACTGTGCAGCCATGTTGTGGCTGAAAGACTGACTATGACATCCTATCCTGTTGGTTTTCTGCCACAGTTAGAAAATTAAAACAGAAAAATCACATCATAGCCTAAAACCACAAAGCTGGTTTGCCTGATAAAATGACTCCATTGTTGGGCCTAGTTTTTGGTCTGCTAATGGGCCGAGAATGTTTGTAATGTGGAGAGGGCTTGTTTCCCCAATTACTTCCTTACTTCTAAATCTCTATCTGTCATAGAGGCTAAATTTACATGTTCAGCTGCTGAAACTTGGTGTCTGTCTTGTTATATAAACATTCAAAACCTCAATATGTCCTTGATGTCTTTTATATCAACCTTAATTAAGGGTTGGGCACACCCTATTTGGACCAATGTTAAATTTAAGGGTTTACTTTACTCAGCCACAGTGTTTGGTGATAAAGACAGAGACAGGCATGTTGTGCATGGCTTAACAG